TGTGATACTACCTACTAATTGATGGTGTTACTAACATCTTTATATGGCTTTCATATTTTGATATTGATACCGGCTCAAGACAAGGTTGACGTGAGAGAAGCCATATTGTAGAAAAGAAGCCCTATTGTAACTTTGAATGACCTCTGACAAACTAACCCAGCTGGGTATGCACCCTCTAGGAGATCTAACTGCTCTGTAGATTTTACGACCTCTGCTTGTGCACGTACCTCCCAGCTGCGAAGAGATGACTCGGTTCTTTTGAGTTCCTTAGGAATGTGATAACCCCCAAACAGAGTCTATGCTGATAGCCATCATCAATGAAAACAGAAAGATCTGGTGTGGCGACTCCCAGTCTGTAACACCTGAGGGTCATCGTTCCTAACCCCCTCTCCTATAATCCAATGGCCTATATAACTACTGTAAGATTTTGTGCCCCCTTAAGATGGGTCTTTTGGACATGAATCTGCCATCTTCCCTCTTGCTAGCAAGCTCTAATAAAAAGTCCTTTTTCTCCTACCACCTTGCCTCTTGACTACTGGCATGTCTTGCAGCGAGCAGAAGGTCCCATGTTCGGTGGTAACAATATTTCATTCATTAGGTTAGTCAACAGGGGTTGATTCATTGTTTATTTGTGTCAGGGACTGGAAGCGGGTACGCTTGTGGTGGGGAGATCATGTAGACCTGCGCTAATACATTAGTCACTAGCCACCTATGGCTATTTAAACTTAAATTAAAAATTTAGTTCCTCAGTTGCAATAGCCACATTTTAAGTTCTCAAGAGTCCCACACGACTAGTGTCTAGTATATTGGATAGTGCAGATACAGAAATTTCCACCATCACTGAAAGTTCTATTGGACAGAGCTGATTTAGAAGACTCTTGAGGTATATTATCTACAGTGGAGTTGAGGAGGGTCTGAGCTGAAGCAATGGCAATGAAATGGAGTGGAGGGATCTCTCTGAGACACTTAATGTGATGCAGAGTGAAGACAGAAAGATTCATTTATTTATTTATTTATTTTTTAAAGATTTTATTTATTTTATTTTTTCCCCCCAAAGCCCCAGTAGATAGTTGTATGTCATAGCTGCACATCCTTCTAGTTGCTGTATGTGGGACTCGGCCTCAGGATGGACGGAGAAGTGGTGCCTCAATGCGCACCCGGGATCCGAACCCCGGCCACCAGCATTGCAGCGCACACACTTAACCACCAAGCCACAGGGCCGGCCCAGAAAGATTCATTTAGAATGTCTTCTAGGCTTCTCCCTAGGATAAATGGGTGGACGGTAGAACCATTCACCAAGGAAGTAAATATAGAAGCAGGATTTAGAAAATGTGGATGAAGTCAGATTTGTACTCAGTGAGTGAGAGGCAACCCTTGGACAGGCCAGTGGTCTGAGAAGCTGCTAGATTTCAGAAGGTGATCTGTGGGAGTCTGGGTGGAGATGGAGTTCCAAGGAAGGAGCAGCAGCCATGGGTAGGGGCTGGAGCCATGCACTTGGGCAAGGGCTCTCAGAAAGAGTAGGCTGCATGAGATGGTCAGAGGCTAGCATCAGGGTCTGGCATTTAGGGCAGGGTTTGTATTTTTTTTAGTGTTTTTTTTATGTGAGGAAGATCAGCCCTGAGCTAACATCCAACGCCAATCCTCCTCTTTTTTTTGCTGAGAAAGATTGGCCCTGAGCTAACATCCATGCCCATCTTCCTCTACTTTATATGGGACGCCGCCACAACATGGCTTGACAAGCGGTGCATCGGCGCGCACCCAGGATCCGAACCTGCGACCCCTAGGGCACCGCAGCAGAGGGCGTGCACTTAACCACTTGCACCACCGGGCCAGTAGGGCAGGGTTTTTAAACTGTGAGTGGGTCATTAAATTAACAAAATAGGTCTCCACCAGCATTAAAAATATAGTATAGAAAATATTAATATGCTTTGCATATAATTTGAGTAAAGATCTTTTCCTGGAACTTTTGTTAGGACTATATTTACACACACACACACACACACATATATATATACTGCGTTGCAAGGTAAAATGTATTTCTGGGTTGTGGTCCAATTAGTTTGAATGTCACCTCTTTATAAAATGGGCACCACAGACTATAAGCTACATGTGAACTGGAACAGGGTCCTTTTTCTCATCACCCCAAATCCTGGCACACAGTACACACTCAGTAAAGACATACTGCATGAGAAAATGAATCAACAAGCCAGAGAAGTAAGAGGAAACCCAAGACAAGGGTGACTCAGAAGCTAAAGAAGAATGAGAGAGAAGAAACAACCCCATGTCAGATGTCAGTGATCTGGCAATATTCAGAGCACTGATGACCTTCTCTCTGCAATTTCTGTGGTTTGGCAGGAGCAGATGCCAGACTGCAGAACTAAATGGGAGGTGAGGAAGTGGAGACTGAGAAATATTTGTTTTGTATTGAAGACGTGAAAGTTCAATATGTGCCGAGAAGAGATTATGTAGAAAAGGCATGATCTAGAATTTTGCTGTCCAATAATGGAATCATTAACCACGTGTGGCTATTTAAATTAGAATTAATTAAATTAAAAATGCAGTTCCTTAATAATACTAGCTCCATTTTAAGTGCTCAATGGCTACATGTGGCTAGTGGCTACTGTACTGCACGGAGCTGTATAGAACATTCCCATCACTGCAGGAAAAAACAAGCCAGCACACAGCACTCCCCAACCTCCTCCTACCTGATACGTTATCTAAACCCAGTAGAAAAACTGCTGGGGACTATATTACAATCTATACATAATGAGATCACATTTGGTCTCAGTGAGTGAGAGGTAACTATGGGAGAGACCAGTGGAGACATCAGGGAGGCTACTGAACCTCAGGATGTGATCTAGGGGCAGTCTGGGAATTACATGTATTCATGTTTTCCCACCAAATGCAACAAAGATATGTGACAACTAGAAGCAGCTCATTATTGCTAAGGACTGAATGCACAGAGAAAAGGAGCTGCAGGACAAGGTATAAGGATGATAGATATCGGAGTAGTGCTGAATAGGAAACGTTGGGAGAATTCAGGCTAGGATAGAGAGAAGATGGTGGGTAAAACGGAGTCCAGTGAAACTCCAGTTTTACAAAATTAAAGGGACTGGTAGAGAACAAATCAATAAATTGTTTCTGATTTCTATATGTAATTTCATGGTTTTTGTATGGCAAAACCATGTTATTGTTCCTTAATAACAAAAAGGACCGTGATTGAAGGCTGAGGCATTACTATCCATCAAATTTGTCCACTTAAGACACTTATTCGGGGTCCCGCTGACTCACTGGAGTGAGAAAAGTCACTTCAGGAATTTTAAAAATAAAATTTCCAATTTTGTGGAAAAATCTCTCTCTTTTGAATCACTTTTAAAGGAATATATGTCTCTTTCTTAAAAAAAATTTTTTTTTGATGTAGTTATTCACGGGGTGAAGGGGGTTCAAAGGGAAGAAGGAAAATTCAGTTCCTTTGCCTTCTCCACATCAGGGCAAACCTTGAGCTGGCTCTGAGGAAGTCAGGCCTTTTGCAAAAATAAAACGTCCATCCTGAAGTCCACCCTTAAGCCTCGTCTGGGGACACCTAGAAGTGGTCGCTCCAGTGAGGTGCTTTCATTGATACACAAGGCCATGTAGCAAACTCCTCGCGGCTTTTGAGCACTGAGTGCACAAAAGCAGTGAGCTCACGTTAACTAAATTTCTAATTAGCGCTCACGGGGTAATCACTGACTCCACCGACACGACGTTCAGGGGTAGACGGCCTGGCTCGGGGAGGGGCCGGCCTGGGGCAGCGCAGGGGTTGTGGTGATGTCGCCGGCCAGAGGCCTCAAGGAGAGAGATTTACCCATCAGAGCTGTCCGTTTAGACACCGTTACTACGGGTACCGCTGATTTCCCTGCAGTGAGGACAGTCACTTCTGAGAAAACGACCTTGCGTCTCAACACCAGGTTCCGCTTGTCCCCGGACCCGTGTAGCCAGACCGCCGCGGCCGGAAGCCCACAAGCTCACTTCCGGCGCCACTTCTGTCTTCCTGGGCGAGGCAAGAAGTGGCTTTCCGGCAGCCAGAGTCTCAGAGTCGTAAGACAAGATGGCAGCGCTCTTTTTGAGGCGAGTGTCCAATCTCCGTTTTATTTCGTACCACCGAGGACTCTCGACTTCCATCGAGAAGTCGAGAAAAACCCTAGTTTTTCTCAGCATAACACGCTCATGTTTCAATTTCATTCAGCTGTGGTGGAGGATGGGCTGGAGGCAACGTAGAGCGGAGCCTGAATGCCGTGGGGCACCATTTTGTACGGAAACCGAAGGGCCGGCCGCGGAGAGCGTTGAGGAATCCATATGTAGCAAGAGAGCGTGGCGGGGAGGGGCGAGAAGGCAGGAGGGCGTTGTTACTGGATGATGTAGTTCCGCTTCCTCTCAGCCCGTTCGTGTTTGGTTGGACCGGCTTGTTGCGGGAAGGGAGGGGGAAGATTGTTTGCGGTGGAGGAGCTACGCGCACGGGAAGGTAAACTGAGGTAAGGCTGTGAAGGGGGGGCCTTTGCGCAGGACTGTGTGGGAGGTCTGGGGGCAGGGTCCTTGGGGTTGAGGAATAGTGTGGGGTTGGACACGGGAGGCTCGGATTGTCCGCAGAGTTGGAGAGACAAGAGAAGGTGGGGCGGGGCTGGGGGTTACAAGGTGAATTGCAAAGCCGGGCGAGGGTGGAGTGGGGAGGGCGGAAGAGAAGAGGGTGTGGAGGGGAGGGTGAGAGCACGGAGGCAAGTCTAGAAGGTGCTAGTGGGGGAGGGGCTGGGGCGAGAGGAGCTGGGACGCGGGAAGAGTAAGAGCTCGAGTCCTTGAGGGCTGAGGAAAGAAGTTGGATGGGGGCTCGTCGGAATATGGCGGTGTGGGAGGACGAGAGTGGAGTCCCTGGGATGCTGAGGCGTTGGAAGGGGCAGGTGGCCGACGTTCTGATGCTGACCATGTACTTGGCCTTTGTTTCCCCCCGCAGCTCCCCAGAGACTCCTATCCCGCAGCCCCTGTTTGGGCCCAGCCTTTTCTCTCTAGCTGCCACCACAGCCTGGAGGCACCTGCCTCCGCCCTCCCGAATGGTGCTCCTCCTCGCAGGCCTCGGCCCAGGATCCAGACCCCCTCTGCCCCCTGCCTCGGAGCTGTTGCTCCAGGTGTTTCCTGGTGGACTCCCCGGGACGGGGAGGGAAGAACTTTTGCACAGTCAAGGCTATAGCTCTAGGAACCCCACAGACGACTTGAATATCTGTCTCTAACCAAGTGTGAGGTTCTTCCTGTGCCCCTTTTTGCATTATTTGAGAAGAGAATCCCTTCTTGACTCCCAGAGCCCAGGAAGCCCTAAGGTGGGGCTCTGGTTCCAGCATGTCAGTCCTATCTTGTGCATAGGGCTGTGCCCTTTTCCTGTCAGCATGGCTGAACTCAGGCAGGTTCCAGGGGGGCGAGAAACCCCACAGGGGGAGCTTCGACCTGAGGTTGTAGAGGATGAAGTCCCTCGGAGCTCAGTCACAGAGGAGCCCGGAGGAGAGGGAAGCAACAGCAGTGAGGCCAAATTGTCCCCAAGAGAAGAGGAAGAACTGGATCCTAGAATACAGGTGAGAAGATTGAATAGGGGGAGAGACAGGGAGCCCAGATTCCAGCTTTCCTGAAAAGCTGCCAGATAAATGAAGGATTAGATTTATTCTCTCCCCGGTGCAGTGGGGCAGGAAAGGAAAACAAATCACCAACTCGTTGCAATATAGTGTGACAAGTGCTAAAAGAGTTGTGTGTGATGGGAGTGCAGAGAAGGGCTGGGCCTGACTGCCTGAGGAGTGTGGCTGAAGGCTTCACTGAAGAAGTGAAGTGACAAATAGGCAGCAGATGCAAGAGGCTCACTTTAGGTCAGTGGAGCGTAGGACTGTTGTTCTTCTTTCCAAATAAGCAAAGAGGTTGTTGGCTCAGAGATACGGAGTGAGTGGGATGTGAGAGGAGGTGACTTTGAGATTGAGGGGCAGTTTTGAATCTTTACCCCTCTCTCACCTTCTCATCAGTGCCTCCCAGGGACATTCACATCTGTAAAGGGTGAGACCTTTCATGTCTTATAAAGGTGGCATCAGGTTTAGGCTTATAAGGAAATCGGATGTGTTCAGGGGGTTTTATCAGTCATGGTCAATCCTTAATAATACACATTCCCAGCTTTGAGGATGCTGGGTCTGTCGAATGGAAGAGATGATTTATCATCTGGGAGCATTTACAGGCTGGTTGGTAGGAGGGCAGATCTTTGTGAGGGAGACCTCAGAGCAGTGGGTGAGGAGGACAGGCACCATGCGGAGGAGATGCATGGCCAGCTGAGGCTGGATTTCGGTGATTCCGGGCAGTGGCAGAGAAGGGCTCCCTGGGGAAGCTGCTTGGGCAGGTGAGGGCCAGGATGCTCCCGTGTGTTTGGGGCCTGAGTCTGCAATTTGGTCTGGTAGCATCTCCAAGGTTCTGATGTAGAGGTGACTCACACTTCTGTAGGTGAGCAAGAGCATCATGGGGCTTGCATCCCTGGGCTTCTCTGTCAACAAACCTTTATTAGATACTTCAGTGAGGCAAGAAAAAATCAAAGCTGGTGCTAGCATCGTTCCTGCCCTCTTGGTGGGGGTTCCCAGGATGTGTGTGGGGGAACTGTGTCCATGCTTATAGTGGAGCAGTGGTGAGCCATTCATTTACTGGCATGAGTCAGTAATTTATTTCTGCTGTGTATCATGGGTTTTGCATTGAAAACAGCTCAGTTTCTCCTGTTAATTCTAGAAATTTGTCCTCCAAGGAAACAAGTTGTAGTGAGAAGAGTTTTGGGCTGAGATTCAAGCAACCTCTAGCCTGATGATTTGTGATTTTCATGCAAGTTATGTAATCTCTCCGAGCCTCAGTTTCTTCATCTGTAAAATGAGGGGTTGGTCTAGCTGATTTGCACAACTCCTTCCTGCTCGGCTCTGACGTAGTGCTACTATTCTTTTCTTTCACAAACTCTTTTGCTCGTCTCTTGGTGCAAGTTTGTAGGTAGTGCTTTGGGAATGAGACCCCTGTCTGTTCCTCGGGGAGGAGAGCTATGTGATGCTCTTCATATACTTCCCTGTAACATTCTTTGTCCTGCTCCAGAGGAGAATCCTCTGTGGTTTCTTTGCTTAGTTTCTCCTGCTCCTGTGTATTTTTCCAGTACCCACACAGATGAAGGCAGTAGTATGAAGAGTCACTCTCATGCTCTGCTGTACAATAAAGTAGCCACTAGCTGCATGTGGCTACTTAAATAAAATCAATTAAAATTAAATAAAAATTAAAGATGCACTTCCCCAGGTGCTCTTGGCAGTGCAGAAATAGAACATTTCTATCATTGCAGACAGTTCTATCAGATGAGCTCTGTGAGAATTGGAGAATACTGAGCAGGCATAAGATTCACCTTGCCTCCAGTGGGCTTGCAGTGTTACTGGAGTGAGAGGGGCAGGTAGGCCCTGATCTCTCTTGCCAAACTGTGAGGCATATTGTGGAACATTGTGGGTCATGTAGGGAAGAAAGGTCTTGTAGAGGCCTCCCTCATTGATGATGCACTCATGGCTGGACCAGTGCTCCAGCCTTGGCAGGGATTCATTGTCTTGTTGCCATGTGGGAGAGGCAGCCTGGTGTGAGGGGAACCCTTCGTGGAGGAGGCCAGCAGCACTCAGCCCTTCTGGGTTTGGGCTCTTCTGGATGAGAAGAAGATTGGGGCTTGTGTCTTTTGAGGTCCCTTTTAGTGTTGGCAGTGCACAAAACCATGTTGTCCTGATAATACATTTCAGAGCTTTAAATGGGTGTTTATTTTTCTGGATTCTCAGTGCATTCAGTGGGTCTCCACCCACAGATCCATCAGTACCCACCAGGGAGCTTTAAAAATACCTGTTCCTGAGCCATTCCCAGACATCTGAATTCTGGTCTGGGTGGGGCGAGAAGTGATTCCAACATACAGCCTGGATGAGTCCACTGGGCTAGGGATATCCCAAAGGCAGGGACCTTGTTCAGGTATTTTCTGGAACTCCCAGAAATGATTGCCCTTAGGGCGAGGCTCTTTCTGACATGGGGAATGGGGTTTCTTGGCAGGCATGCAGCTCGTGTCCCCATTTTCTGGTGGGATCCCTTTAGAACTTGGAGGAAAGCTAGCTGGAGGCTAGCTCCAGGCCTGCCTGGAGTGTGCTGTTCCCCAGAGAAGGCCACTGGCTCTGTCTTCATGTCTTGACCTCAGCATAGTTCTCTGAGTTCTCCAGGCTGGTCCTGAGCTTTCTGAGAGAAGAAGAGTCCCAGTGGAGGGATCAAGTGAAGGAGGGTGGGGCTACGATGGGCCTGGGTGTCTTTCCCTGTGACTTTCTCAGTCCCTCCTTGAGGTGGGCACATTCTTTCCTCAGGTAAATGGATACATTCACTCACCTGCTCCTCCTCAAGACTCTTTAGGGTGACTTTGCAATGTCTGCATCCTCATCTGAAGTGTCGGTTTAGCTCTCACAGGACAGTTGTATTTCCTGTATTTCTGAGTTTTTGGGCTGTGCATCACCCTGGCCCCACCAACTGACCATGGGCCTGAGTGTTTTAATGGTTTGCACAAGGTGGGCAGGAGCATCTGTAGCCTGAGGACCCATGCCTTTGACTCAGTGGCCTCGCATCCTGGAAATGAGCCCAGTGTGGTTCACCCTCTCTGCTAGCCGCGGGCTCACTGATGGATGATGTGCGCTGACTCAGACTTCATTCTCTTCGAATTCCATTTCATCCAGGTGCCAGGAGCAGGCCAAATGGAGTGTGTTGCCAGCTGCCCAAAACAGCTCTGGATGCTTGTTGGCTTCCCCACAGCCTTGGCCTGGGTCTGCCCCAGCCTGTCTGTCCCCTCAACCCTCTTGCCTACCTTGCCCTCCAGCCTGCTCTGCTCCCCAGTCTTCTTGTCCTGTTGGAAAGAGCTTTGTGACTCTGAGAGGCAGATCTCATCAACAGAAGGCTTTTTAACTACTGGAGGTGCTGTGCAGGTGCGAGTGGATTCCCACCTAGAAAGACATGTCCATTCCCACCCTTTGCCAATAACAAGTTCTTCATGTCTTTTTTCCAGTAGGGATGACTTATGTAGAGCCATTCACTTCTCTAATGATCTTATCAGGGTCTGGGAGCATTGTAGGCCGTGGAACCGAGTGGAATCCAGTCTTGGACCTTGGTTTGCCCACAGGAATGTTGCAGGGTGGCCATTACCCACCTCCTCTTCTCTTCCAGAATCAATGTTTATTGCCCTCCTGATTCCTGTTCTTTTCCTACCAGGCTGTGGTTTTTCTAGATTATGGTACTCCTGTCTTCTCTGTGACATCCATCCAGGGACATCCTTAGTCCTAGGAGGATCGTCACAGTAGCAGGAAAGCCAGATCAAAGGTCAAGTCCTGGATCCAGTCCCAGCTCTGTCCCTGATTCCCCGCCTCATTGTTTCTTGTTTATCAAATGCAAATTAGCTGAGCAAGAAATATTCCTGTAGGAACTGCTGAAAGGACTAGTCACCTCCTCTTCTAGTCTGAAACTCCCTGTGGTCCAAGTTGAGCCACAGGAAGCTGGGCCCACAGGGGGAGAGGTTGCCTCTAATCCTGACAGGAATTGCCTTTTCTGAGGATCCTTTGGGGCGATCCCATCACCTGAAGATGATGTCCTTGTTAGGAAGGCACTGTGAAACTTGGAGCTCTGTGTTGTCAGGTGGGGTCTTCTGAGCCCTGTCAGCTGCCTGTGGTTCCAGAGTGGCTTGTCATTATCTTATGGACATTGGGTTGTGTGACTAATCAGGTTGCCTGTGTGCACCAACTTCTAGACCTGCACTGTCCAGTACAGGAGCCACATGCCACTGGCCATTTGGGCTATATTGGGTTAAATGAAATGTATTGTTACAATTTCACCTGTTTGGTTTTGCGTTTTTTTAAATGTGGCTGCTAGAAAACTAAAAATTGCATATGAGGCTGACATTATATTTCTGTTGGACAGCTCTGTTCTGGAAAGTTTAGAGCCAAATTTGTGGCCCTCTTTAAGGCAAGGTCTGCATTGTTGTAGATGTGCATTTTTTCATATCCTTGTGCCCAGTTCTATGTTTCTTCTTTTGTGTTTTTCCTTTTACTGTAATTAGGGCTTGGTTTCCTGGATTCTTACTTGCTGACTCAGATCTTTTAGGGCTTGAGAAGGGGTATAGAAATAAAAAGACTAAAAGGGAGTCATACACTGGATTGTTAGAAGGGCCAAATGAGGTGCTCAGGACAGTGATGGCAATATCGCTCACTGCCAAGTGCAGGTTGTTTCTGGGCCATGCCCAGCAGGCTGGGTCCCGCTGGCCTGTCCAGGGGCTACAGGGCTCCTGGAGGAGGATCCCGTAGCCAAGTACCAGGCATTTCTGCGGGCGTTGCTCCTCCTCAGGAGTCTCCTTGGCTCACTGGGCTCTGGGAACTTGACCGAGAAAGGGTAGGAGAGAATACTCGAGGGCAGCACCCCTCCCTGCTCTCTGCCATGTCAGTGAAAGGCCTGGGTGATTCTGTTGCTTCTTTCTCCAGCCCTGGGACCAATGAGGTGCTCAAGCCAGCTTGTTTGGTGACTTCTCCCTGAGGCTCTCCCTTCCTCCCTCCCACAGGATCTGCTGTGTGGGTTCCTGGGGTCACTTTCACCCCACTGCCCCAGCAGACCTAGAGTCCTCTTGAACCACGTGCTCTTCCCTAATCTTTACCTTAATTGTCCACAAACCCCTCGTGATTCTGCATCCTGCATTTCCCTGGGATCTGCCCTCTCCTCTCCCACCTAGAATACTGCAGACAGCCTCCACTTTTGTCTCGCTCGCCCCTCTAAGCTTTCCCTGTATTGCTTAGATCAGCCTTCCTAAACTATAAACCAGTTGGTGCCAGGCTCTGAGGGGCTCCCCCTGCCATTGGGACAAGTTTTGGTATCCCCTCCCCTGTTCCTTAGCCTTGCTGGCTTCTCACCTGACAATTTGTCTGCCCCAGGCACCTGTTCTCCTTTTGATTCCCATCTCCCTCCCCATCACTGATGCTTTTCTGTACGTCCATCAAAGCCCTGCTTGGGAGCAAGTGCCCTGGCGTCCTGCCCTGGCCTTCCACTGCCAAGGTGGGTGACCCTGCCATCTCCACCACAACCACCCATCACACGGCTCCTCACACTACTGAGGGTCTGTTGCTTACTTAGTAGGCCATGACGTGCCACCTCTCTGTGTTCTGAATTCTCAGGTCTCATGATGCTGAGCTGTGATAAGTATGCAGTAAGTATGTGCTGAGTGACTGGTCTAGGAGATCATTCTCTCTCTGGGACAGAGACTGTTAGCTCCAAGGAGACTCCTCCTGGCTGGAGGGCAAAGAGGAGGTGGTATGGTCTGATGCAGAGAGCTCAGGCTTGCTGCTACTTTGCTGTGTGCATACGTGTTCCATTCTCTGAGCCTCGATTTCCTCATCCTTAAAATAGGGGTTTTACTACCTGCTACAGAGATGAGGTTTTGAGAATTACAGGAGACTATGTATTAGATCTCTGACAAGGAGACATTCGATAATGCCCTTTTCCTCTATTTCTTCCCTTCCCTGGTCTGGTGGGCTTTCCCTCTGTGCACTGTGCTCGCACCCCGCCTGGTTCATATGAGGCTGCTTCATTCCACTTCTCTAACTCTGCCCATCTCTATGGTAGGAGGAGCTGGAGCATCTGAACCAGGCTAGCGAGGAGATCAACCAGGTGGAGCTGCAGCTAGATGTGAGTTGCTCCTTTTCCTCACAACCTTGGGCTAGTCCTGTAGGTGTCTCTGTCTGTTTCCCTCCCCATTCAGTACAGTGGCAGAGGAAGGGGCGTGTGTGAGAAACAAGAGAGGCTGGGACCCACACATACCTTCCCTCTACCCATGTCTCTATTCCTTTGCCAGGAGGCCAGGACCACCTATCGGAGGATCCTGCAGGAGTCGGCGAGGAAGCTGAATACGCAGGGCTCCCACTTGGGGAGCTGCATTGAGAAGGCCCGGCCCTACTATGAGGCTCGGCGGCTGGCTAAGGAGGTACGGCCAGCTGACCCACATTCTGGGAGGGCTGCATGCAGAGCCAGGCTGTGGATTCTTCTATCTCTGTACAGAGTGTGAGGTGGAACACCTTTTCTCATTGCTTTTCTGTCTTTCTTCTCTTACCTTTGGTTCATGTCTCTCTTTTCTTTGCTTACCCCTCCACTCTTTTACCCTTCTTCCTTCCTTTTTTTTTCTTTACACAAATAATGTGGGTTCACTATTGGAAGACTAATTGTAACTGTAACTGTAAATCAAGATAAGAGAAGAAAACCAGAATCGCCCCCAATCCTACCATGCTCATGTTGCATGATTTTTGTACCTGAGATTTGTTTTAGTCAAGTATGGTAAGATGACAGACACAGAGACAACTACCTTGAAAGAAGAGTGTATTACTTACAGTTCCCAAGAGGAAGGGGCATGCCACGCCATGCAGGAACACATGGGGAAGAATCTGGGTTGGTCAAGAGGCGGAAGGCCTGAGGGGAAAGCTTGGCCCAGAGCCTTTATTGTGGTTTTCGTGAGAAGGAATGGGTAAGGCAGCGTAGGCAACTTTGAGCAAGCTTCAGATTGGCTAGTTTGAATAATTGTGGTGGGCTCTGGGCTACAGGGGTGGTCTCTAGTTTTCTGGTACCTGGCTCTGGTGTGATATAGGGCCAGAGGAAGTATTGGCTTGGTGTGTGAGAGTTACATAAAGGAGGTGATGGGCCTTGGACATGTTGGTTTGCATATGAAAGGTGTGCTCACAGAGTTTGCTATCTAGGAATTAGCTAGCTCTGAGAGGACCAGCAAGGCCCCCAAGATGTCAAAAGCATCATAAGATATAGAAGATAAAAAATGTGATTAATACAGCATAGATAACCCTTTTCTAAAAAAAAAAAAATTGGTATATATCCTGCCTAAATGAGATTACACCATGTGCTATTGTTTTTTATTGAGCTAACATTGGTTTATAACATTATATGTTTCATGTGTACAACATTATAATTTGACTTCTGTATACACCACACTGTGCTCACCACCAAAATCTAGTTTCCATCCGTCACCATATAATTGACTTCCTTTACCCATTTCGCCCTCCTCCCACCCTCCTTCCCCTCTGGTAACCAACAGTATGTTCTCTGTATCTATGTGTTTGTTTTCGTTTTGTTTTGTTTGTTCGTTTATTTTGCTTTTTTTAATATTCTACCTATGAGTGAAATCATATAGTGTTTTGTCTTTCTCTGTCTAATTTATTTCACTTAGCGTAATAACCTCAAGGTCCATCTGTGTTGTCGCGAATGGCAAGATTTCATCTTTTTTATGGCGGAGTAGTATCCATGCTGTATTATGTATACTACATCTTCTTAATCCATTCATCCATTGACGGGCACTTAGGTTTTTTTTGTATCTTGGCTATTGTAAATAGTGCTGCAATGAACATAGCGGTACGTATATCTATTTAAATCAGTCTTTTTATGTTTTTTGGATAAGCACTCAGAAGTGGAATAGCTGGATCATATAGTAGTTATATTCTTAATTTTTAAAGGAATTTTCATACTGTTTTCCATAGTGGCTGCACCAATTTACATTCCCACCAAGAGTGTATGAGGGTTCCCTTTTTTTCATATCCTCTGTAAAACTTGTTATTTCTTGTTTTATTGATAATAGCCATTCTAATGGGCGTGAGGTGAAATATCTCATTGTAGTTTTGATTTGCATTTCCCTAATAATTAGTGATGTTGAACATCTTTTCATGTGCCTGTTGGCCATCTGTGTGTCTTCTTTGGAAAATGTTCAGATCCTCTGCCTATTTTTTAATTGAGTTGTTTTTTTGTTGTTGAGTTGTATGAGTTCTTTATGTATTTTGGATATTAACCCCTTATCAGATATATGATTTGCAAATATCTTCTCCCATTTGGTAAGTTGTCTTTTCATTCTGCTGATAGTTTCCTTTGCTGCTCAGAAGCTTTTTAGTTTGATGTAGTAGTCCCGTTTGTTTATTTTTTCTTTTGTTTTCCTTGCCTGAGGAGACATATCCAAAAAGATATGGTTAAGACTGATATCAAAGAGTGCAGTGCCTATGTTTATTTCTGGGAATTTTATGGTTTCAGGTCTTACATTCAAGTCTTTAATCCATTTTGAGTTAATTTTTGTGTATGGTGTAAGGTGATGGTCGAGTTTCATTTTCTTTGCATGTGGCTGTCCAGTTTTCCCAGCACCATTTATTGAAGACACTTTCATTTCTCCATTGTATGTTCTTGGCTCCTTTGTCATAAATTAGTTGTCAATATATGTATGGGTTTATTTCTGAGCTCTTAACTCTATACCATTGATCTGTGTGTCTGTTTTTCTGCCAATGCTATGCTGTTTTGTTTACTATAGCTTTGTACTGTAATTTGAAATCAGGGAGTGTGATTCCTCTAGCTTTGTTGGTTTTTCTCAGGATTGCTTTGGCTATTTGGGATCCTTTGTGGTTCCATTCAAATTATAGGATTTTTTTTTCTATTCTGTGAGAAATGTCATTGGGATTCTGATGGGGATTGCATTGACTTTTTCATTGCTTTAGGTAGTATGGACTTCTTCCAATCCATGAGCATGGACTATCTTTACATTTTTTTGTGTCACCTTCAATTTCTTTCAATACTATCTTATAGTTTTCAGTGTACAGGTCTTTCAACTCTGGTTAAATTTATTCCTAGGTATTTTTTTCTTTTTGTTACAATTGTAAATAGGATTGTTTCCTTAATTTCTCTTTTTGCGGGTTCGTTGTTAGTGTATAGAAATGCAACAGATTTTTTGTATATTGATTTTTATACCCTGCAACTTTACTGTGTTTATTATTTCTAATAGCTTTTTGGTTGAGTCTTTAGGGTTTTCTATATATAAAATCATGTCATCTGCAAATAGTGAGTTTTACTTCTTCCTTTCCAATTTGGATCCCTTTTATTTCATTTTCTTTCATAATTGCTCTGGCTAGGACTTCCAATACTATGATGACTGAGTGGTGAGAGTGGGCATCCTTGTCTTGTTCCTGATCTTAGAGGGCTAGCTTTCACTTTTTCACTATTGGGTAAGATATTAGCTGTGGGTTTGTCATATGTGGACTTTATTACATTGAGGTAGTTTCTTTCTATACCCATTTTATTGAGTTTTTGTCATAAATGGATGTTGAATCTTGTCAAATGTTTTTTCTGCATTTATTGAGATAATTATATGATTTTAAGTCTTCATTTTGTTGATGTAGTGTATCACATTGATTGATTTGTGGATGTTGAACCATTCTTGCATCCCTGGAGTAAATCCCTCTTGATCATGTTGTATGATCTTTTTAATATATTGTTGTATTTGGTTTGCTAGTACTTTGTTGAGGCTTACTGCATCTATGTTCATGAGTGATAGTGGCCTGTAATTTTCCTTTTTTGTGTTGTCCTTGTCTGGTTTTGGTATCAGGATAATGTTGGCCTCATAAAATGAATTAGGAAGCATTCCCTCCTCTTCAGTTTTTTTGGAAGAGTTTCAAAAGGATAGGTATTAAATCTTCTTTGAATGTTTGGTAGAATTCACCAGTGAAGCTGTCTGGTCCTGGACTTTTGTTTTTTGGGAGGTTTTTGAAACAGTAATCGTTGTTTCAGTCTCCTTACTAGTGATCTGTCTATTCATATTTTATATATCCTCATGATTTAGCTTTGGAAGCTTGTATAATTCTAAGAAATTTTCTTTCTTCTAGGTTGTCTAGTTTGTTGGCCTATTGCTGTTTGTAGTAGTCTCTTATAATCCTTTGTATTTCTGTGGTATCTGTTGTAACTTCTCTTTAAAGATTTCTATTTTATTTATTTGAGCCTTCTCTCTTTTTTTCTTAGTGAGTTTAGCTAAAGGTTTGTTAGTTTTTTTAATCTTTTCCAAGAACCAGCTCTTAGTTTCATTAATTTTTTCTGTTGTCTTTTTAGTCTTTATTTCATTTATTTCTGCTCTGATTTTTATCATTTCCTTCCTTTTACTGACTCTAGGCTTTGTTCTTCTTTTTCTAGTTCCTTTAGGTATAAGATTAGCTTGTTTATTTGAGATTTTTCTTGTTTCTTGAGGTAGACCTGCATTACTATAAACTTCTCACTTAGTACTGCTTTTGATGCATCTTATAAGAGTTGGTATGTTGTATTTTCATTTTCATGTGCCCTCAGGTAGTTTTTGATTTCTCCTTGAGCCAATAGTTGTTCAGGAGCATGTTGTTTAGTCTCCACATGTTTGTGATTTTTCCAGCTTTCTTCTTGTAGTTAACTTCTAGTTTCATACTGTGTGGTCAGAAAAGTTACTTGATATGATTTTGGCCTTCTTAAATTTATTGAGACTTGTTTTTTGTCCTAGCATGTGGTCTGTTATTGAAAATGTTCCGTGTGTACTTGAGAAGAATGTGTGTTCTGCTGCTTTTTGATGGAATGTTCTGTATATATCTATTAAGTCCATCTGGTCTAGTGTTTCATTTAAGGCTGATGTTTCCTTGTTGACTTTCTGTCTGAGTGATGTGTCCATTGATGTTAGTGGGGTATTAAAGTCCTCTACTATTATTATGTTGCTGTCAGTTTCTCCCTTTAGACCTGTAAATAGTTGCTTTATATATTTTGGTGCTCCTGTGTTAGGTGTGTATATATTAATGTTATGTCTTCTTGATGGGTTATTCTCTTTATCATTATATAATGTCCATCTTTGTCTCTTGTTACCTTTGCTGGCTTGAAGTCTATTTTGTCTAATATGGGTATGCCTATACCCACTTTCCTTTGGCTGCCATTTGCTTTGAATACCATCTTCCATCCCTTCACTCTGAGCCTATATTTCTCTTTAGGGCTGAGTCTCCTGGAGGCAGCACATAGTTGGGTATTGTTTTTTAACCCATCTAGCCACTCTGTGTCTTTTGATTGGTGAATTCAATCCATTTACGTTTAGGGTGATTATTGATACATGAGGGCTTAATACTGCCATTTTGTCTTTTGTTTTCTGCTTGCTTTATATCTCTATTGTTTCTTTTCCTTGGGTTTCTGTCTGCCCTTTTAGTTTGGTGGTTTTGTATGATGTGTTTCTGTTTCCTCTTTTTTTATGTTTAATATCTCTGCTCTGGATTTTTGTTTTGTGGTTACTGTGAGGTTTGTATAAAATGTCTCAAGATAACATTTTTCTCTGCTGATAGCTTCTTTTCTTCATTTGCCTGTAGAGGTTCTGTCCTTTTCCTCTGCCCTTTTTGTTTTTATTGTCACAAATTATACCTTCCTATTTCTTGAGTATTACCAGATTGAAGTAGCTATAGTTATTGTGAATAGTTTTTCCCCCCTTTAACCTTTATGCTATAATTAAGTGCTTAACCACCTATTCTGATATAGGATTGATATATAGAGTTTTCTGATTCTGTCTGTCTATTTATCACCTTACTTGAAGTTTTGTGTACTTTTACCTTTTCATTTCAGCTAGAGAGCTCCTTTGAACATTTCTTGTAAGGCAGGTCTAGTGATGAACTCCCTCAGCTTTTGTTTGTCCAGAAAGCCTTTATTTCTCTTGCATATCTGAAGGATAATTTTGCTGGATAAAGTATTCTTGGCTGCCAGTTTTTATCTTTCAGTATTTTGAGTATGTCGTTCTACTCTGTCTTGGCCTGTAGAGTTTCTGCTGAGAAATCTGCTGATAGCCTAATGGGGTTACTGGTTTTTTTCCCCCGACTGCCTTTAAAATCCTCTCTATTGTTGATTTTTAACAATTTTAATATAACGTGTCTTGGAGAAGATCTTTTTGTGTTGAGATAATTAGGTGTTCTGTTAGCTTCGTGGACTTGTATATCTAGTTCCTTCCTCAGGTTTGGGAAGTTCTCATCTGTTATTTCTTTAAATAACCTCTTTACTCTCTTCTTCTGGGATACCTGTTATCCTTCTGTTGCCTTTTCTAATGGAATCAGATAGTTCTTGTAGAGTTTCTGCATTTTTAAAAAATCTTTGTTCTCTCTTTTCTTCTACCTGCATTTCTAGGTTTCTATCTTTGAGCTCACTAATCCTGTCTTCCATATGGTCTGCTCTATTTCCAGTGCTTTCTAATGCATTCTTCATCTCACTTATTGAGTTCTTCAGCTCGAGAATTTCTCTTTGGTTCTTTTTTAGAGTTTCAGTCTCTTTGGTAAAGTATTCCTTCCGTTGATTAATTTTATTCCTGACCTCATTGAACTGCCCTTCTGAGTTTTCTTGTAGCTCACTGAGTTTCTTCGTGACACCTATTTTGAATTCTCTATCAGATCACAATCTTCTGTGACTTTCAGTTTGGTTTATAGAGAATTGTCATTTTCCTTTTGTGATACTGTGTTACTGTGGTTTCTCATGGTGCTTGCTGAGTTGTTCCTCTGGCAGCGTATTTGAAGTAATAAACACCTTTCTTATTTAGGTAAAGCTTTGTTTACTTTGATTTTAACACTTCAACAGGTTTTTAATTAGAGGCTTTTCTTTTGTGTTTCAGTAGATGGCGCTATGGCCTAAGCTTTTGGGTTTTCTTACCTGAGCTGCCTTTGGCTATATTGGCACTTTCCATCCTCCACTTCCTCTTCCAGAGGTGTCACTGATGCCTTCCTCGTCACTGCTTGTGCTTCTAGAGTTGCTGGTGCCTTGCTGCTGCCATTATCACTGTAATTGCTGGTTTCGCTGCTGGGGGCACTGGCATGACAAGCGTTTCCACCACATCTGGGGTTGCCTGGGTTGCGGGGACTGCTGCCATGGCAGGGGCAGTTGGAGAGTTGCGGGGGAACTGGGGTCACAGCCCCTTCTGCTGTGTCCGGGGTTGTCAGGTAAGCAGTCTCAACTGCTGCGAGGAAGAGGGGCAGGGCTGGATTCTCAGGCACTTCCTTGGCTGGAGGGGCCAGGATTATAGGCCCCACTCCTGCTCCTGCCTGGTTTCCTGTGGCTGTGGGCGCCACTGTGGCTAGGAGTCTGGAATCTTGTGCAGCACCTCTGCTGCTGCTACTGGCTTCCCTGGGGCTGTGGGGTTAGCCACCGTGGCTGGGGGATCCAGGATTATGGGCACCTTCTCTGCTGCTCCTCCAGTTCCGTTGACTCTGTGTGTTCCAATCTATCCACCTTGAGATCATCCTAGTCTGTTAGGCAGAGGAACCTTCATTGAGTTATGGGTGTTTTACTCGTTGTAGGTTGAAGGAGAGAGACAAAGGGAGCATCTCACACTGTCCCCCCATGTTGCTGACATCATTCTCCCATGTATGCTATTTTTATTTTTTTATTTTATTTATATTATGACATGGTTCCTTGTTAATAAATATACATTCATGCTATCGCTTTTAAGGGCTGCATAATATTTCCTTTATTCATTTAACCAGTTCCCTGTAACTGAAAACTTAGGTTTGTTTCCAGTTTTTTGTTTGATAAGCATGGCTGTGATAAACCTCTCTAAGCAGTTGTTTGATTATTTCCTTCAGCTTACCCGCTGTACTGGAGTTGATGGTCTCAGGGGTGTGCTTTCTGTAAGACTTAGTTCATGTCACTGTCCACCTTTCAACTAAAGTGGTGAGAATTTTTCTTTGTTCTCTCTAGGGCAAAAGGCCAGTGGCCTTCGAGAGTGCTGCATTTCACGCACTCACCTTCCACTGGCAGTGTTATTCTTTTCACTCTTTATTTCTACGTTTATTTTTTTCTCTTAGGCCATATCCTTAAAAAATATTCTTTATAGAGAATTCTATAAAGATTTTATTCTTTCTAGAATTTCTAAAAATATTCTATTCTTCCTTGGCATTTTATCCATAGCTTAGTTTGGGAAGTGAAGCTGACATTGCAATGGGCCTTCTCCCTTCTCTTGTCCTTGCCCAGGACGGGTCTCTATGGGTGGCCAGGTGTACCTTGGGGCTCCCTTTCCTGATGGTCTCCCCCCAGGCACAGCAGGAGACTCAGAAGGCAGCACTGCGATACGAGCGGGCCGTCAGCATGCACAATGCCGCCCGGGAGATGGTGTTTGTAGCTGAGCAGGGTGTCATGGCTGACAAGAACCGGCTGGACCCTACGTGGCAGGAGATGCTCAACCACGCCACGTGCAAGGTGAGCCCAGCAGTATCAGCAGGTCACCTTCGCTGGTTCCGGTATTTCCTTTCCTATCCCTTCGTCTCATCACCCTCCTCATTCCTCTCTCTCTGTCCCTGTCTCTCCCCCTCTCTCCCCCTCTCCCTCCCTCTCCCTTTCTTTCTTCTCTCTCTCTCTCTTTCTCACTCCAGTCTTCCCTCAGCTGTGATTATGTTTCAGGCAAAAGCTGTTCCTTGATCTCTACCCTGTTTGGCCTCCAGCACTTCCCATATACATTTCCTTCGGACTTAGAATGTCTTTCTGGGCTTTGCCTCCAGATGTGGGACTAACCGAACAGTTCATCCCTGCTGGGTGCTCTGGATTCAACAATCAACATTTTGTTATGTTTAGCTGTGACTCACTTCTGTTCCAAATGTTTTCCCTTCCTTGTTTTTGAGCTCTGCCAGTGTACCTTGATTTTTGAAGTATAATTTGTGCATCATTTCCAAGCTACTCAAAGGGGACTGGGGAGCAGGAGAATCCTTGGCATCAGCTCCAGTCTGCCACCTTCACCTTATAAGGGCAAGTGTCTTAGTCCACTCGGGCTGCTATATCAAAATAACATAGACTGGGTGGCTTAAACAGCAACGTTTATTTCTCGCAGTTCTGGAGGCTACGAAGTCCAAGATCAAGGCACAGGCAGATTTGATGTCTGATGAAGGCCCACTTCTTGGTTCCTAGATGGCCGGCTGTTTTCTGCACTGTGTTTTCACAAGAGAGAAGTAGCAAGGAAACTCTCCAGGGTCTCTTTTATAAGGGCACTAATCCCATTCATGAGAGCTCCCTGCTTATGACCTAATCACCTCTCAGAGGCCCACATCCAATGCCATCACCTTAGGGGTTAGGATTTCAACATATGAATTTTGAGGGGACACAAACATTTAGTCTATAGCAGCAAGTGTCAGCTCCTGAGGGGTGGTCATGTCTCGAGGTTTTTTGTGTGCTCCTTAGTCCAGGCCCATGGCCTTGCACAGAGCAGGAGCTTCACTTTCGTTCTGGAGCTCACACAAAGGAGAGCACAGCACTGGGGGCCAGGTTGTTGAAGCCGTGTGTGGCAGGGCTCTAGTGTGTATCTGCCCAGGGTGCGGCAAGGTTGGCCCCCTAGTCCTGGTGGACAAGGTGGATGGAGCCCTTGCTTGCTCTCTGCTCAGGCGTGGAAACCAAGAGAACCCAGTACAGAGCTATGGCTCCCCATACTGGGGCTCTTCCCATACCCCCAGCCCTGGCACTGAGGGCTTTCTGAGGCACTGTGCTTCCTGGCAGATGTTTTCACACACAGACGTTGCCTACATGCTCGTGAGTGGTCCAGAGGGCCTCAGCACCCTCTCCTGGCAGCAAAGCTGAGTGGCAAGTGGTGCAGGTAACAATAGGCAGGTTCAAGGACCCACTGTTCTCCTTTGTGTCTCGGGGACTCGATGCCCTTTCCAGGCTCTGCAGACAGTGGGGAGGTCCCCCCAAGGTAACATTTGGAGTGGCAGCATGGGGCATATGACAGGGGCAGGTCCCAGGTCAGTGATGTGTGTTCTCCACCCCACCTGGGCCAGGTGAACGAGGCAGAGGAGGAGCGGCTTCGTGGCGAGCGGGAACACCAGCGGGTGACGCGGCTGTGCCAGCAGGCTGAGGCTCGGGTCCAGGCCCTGCAGAAGACCCTCCGGCGGGCCATTGGCAAGAGCCGCCCATACTTTGAGCTCAAGGCCCAATTCAGCCAGATCCTGGAGGTAGCTGAGTGGGAGAGGGGGAGGATCAGTGAACAGGCAGGAAGCAGGCAGGCATGGAAAGTGAGGGCAGGTAGAGGGGACACTAGTCTGCCTCTCTGGGCCATCCGCCAGGCCAGCAAGGTGGGACAGGTGGTGGTGCATGTGCTCAGAGTGATCCTTCAGGGGTGGGAGGTGGGATTCGGGGGTGGGTGCTGGCAGAGAACTGAGTTGAAGGGAGGTAAACAAGAGAAAAAGTGAGAATTGGGGGAGACCAGGGAGAATGGGAAGAGAAACCAGACAGATAGGGAAAGGGGACAGTGAGGAGAGGAGGAGTGGGTGGGAATGAAGGCCTGGGAGGAAGGCCCTGGACATTTGGGCCCAGGTCAGGAGGAGAGCAGGATTCCTGGGGAAGGAAGACCCTAGGAAGAGGATGAGAAGAACCGCAGGTTTGTGGTGGGTGGTGAATAGGGCCAAGGGCCTGGGAGAGGAGGCCCCAGCACAGAGTGCTGAATGGGGCCAATGGGACTCACTCAGCAGCTCCAGGCCTGTGGAGAGTTGCCCAGTGGTTCACCTCACTCTGCCCCTCCGCAGGAGCACAAGGCCAAGGTGACAGAGCTGGAGCAGCAGGTGGCCCAGGCAAAGACGCGCTACTCAGTCGCCTTGCGCAACCTGGAGCAGATCAGCGAGCAGATTCATGCACGGCGCCGGGGCCTGCCACCTCATCCCCCGGGCCAGCGGCGCTCCTCCCCTGTGGGGGCTGAGGCTGGGCCTGATGGTGGCGAGGACGGGGACAGTGGGATCATCGAGGGGGCCGAGGGTGGAGGGCTGGAGGAGGGCGGCAGCCTGGGACCTGGCCCGGCCCCTGACACGGACACACTGAGCCTGCTGAGCCTGCGCACCGTGGCCTCGGACCTGCAGAAGTGTGACTCTGTGGAGCACCTGCGGGGCCTCTCGGACCATGCCAGTCTGGATGGCCAGGAGCTGGGTCCGCGCAGTGGGGGGCACTGGGGCACTGACAGCAGGGGCCGTGGGGGCCGCCACCAGCGCAGCATTAGCCTGTAGCCCCATGTTTGGGATGGCTGGTTCATCTGTTACCACCACTGGCCTGCACAAGGCCAGGGAGGCTCTGACCTCCCTCTCCTCGGGTCCTTGATTCCCTCGTCAGTTGTGTCTGAGGCATCCTGCCTGTCGTGGCTCTTTCACCATTGTCCTCCCCCGCCCGTGCAGGTGGCAGCTGTCTTTGCCTTACTCCTTCAGAAGGCTTGTCTCTGGCTCTCACATTTTACCTCTTCTTGCTGGCTCCTCACAGTCTGTCTGATAACCTTTGCTGTCCTCTTTCTGGTTTCTCTCCTTCCATCTGTTTGGCATTTCCCATCAGGGAACTTGGCTTAGAAGGCACAGGAGGGCCCATCAGAGAAGGTGGGTGCTGGACTTAAGTCCTGGCATCTTGGTCCCCCAACTTGAGTGAATGGACAGGTACCTCTCCTACCTCCCCATCTCCCAGGGGGGCCCTAGGGATGCTGTAGATCCCTCCTGGCAGCCCTGTGCCCTAGTCCTCTGTCGCAGCCTGCCTGTGTATAACCTGTAAGATGCACTGTGGGACTGTGTGCCTCCAGGAAGACACTACCCATCCCTTCAGTGCTGCTTCCTCATGACCTAAGCCACTTTGTTATGTGTGCCCCAAAGCAGGACTTGAAGGGTGCCGGTATTAGGGAAGGTGAAGCCCAACCTTAGTGTCAACATAGGGGACACTACCAACTTCAGACAGACTCTCATTTGCATGGCGTTTTCCCAACTGGGCTCAGCCCTTAACATTGCCAAGGTGCTAGTGGGTCTCTAACAGGGTCCATGTTTGGGGGTGGAGACGTAGTGAGATCCTGATGGCTGAGGCCCTTGCCATTCCTGCTACAGAGTTAGGTTTACTTATTCTGGGTAGAGGATGCTGAGACGAATTTCAGCACCCTCCTGCAGGGTGGAGTTAGGAAATTTGGTGCTCAATTGCTTTCCCTCACTCTTCCCCAAAGCAAACAATACCTACTCCAGGATCCCTTGGGGAATGCTCAAGGTTAGCTGCTGAGCCTCCCCTGATGTGGGGAGGGGTTGGCCTGGGGTGAGGGGACCCGCTCTCCATAGGAAGCGGCTCTGGGTGTCTGGGGGTGCTCCCAGACTGTGTGGTGGGGAAAGGTGGGGAAGCCACATGAATCTGGGTGCTTTGGGAGAACCAGTCCTTCCTCTTATCCCACCCCAGGAAGGCTGAGAGCTGGACACTGGGCAGGAGAGCTCATGCCTAGGCCTGTGTGCTGCTACCTTCGACTCGGGGAGGAGTGGGCCTTAGCATGGAGAGTGTCTCCCTGTCCTAGGGTTGAGGTAGGATGGTCACAATGAGAACCGCTGGGTTTGAGGTGGCCATGGGTGGAGGGAAGAAGGAGAGGGAGGACATAGGTGTGTGTGCGTGCATGTACTGGTGTTTGTGTGTGGGAAGAGGATCTGCCCTTGATTTTATTTAAATAAAATACTTTATGTAACAGTAACGTTTACTGTCCGTGTCAGGGGAGGGAGAAGGAGAAGGGGGCGAGGGTGGGGAGGGGGAAAAGAGCAAGGTGAAGTGGGGCCCTTTCCAATGGGGTAGTCAAGGAATGCCTTTCAGGAGGTGAAGGATGAAATGGATCGAACCAGGCCACAGAAGGAGAGAAAGCTTATGGCCACAGGGACAGGGTGAACAAGCACTAGGCGAGTGTGGATGTGATCTGGGAGTTGCACCCCCTTCCTGCTGGGCGAGCAGTGGTCTGCAGGGTGGAGTGTATGTTGTGAGCCACTGTGGTGGTCCAGATGAGATGAGGGTGCCAATCCTGGACGTGTCTGGACATGAGCATGAAGGAAGGGGAGGGACAAAAGTAGGGTGGGATTTAGCAAGTAAATATACAGGATGCCCAGTTAGACTTGAATTTCAGATAGACAATGAATGTTTTGCCCCCTGCAATGTTTAGGACATACTTATACTAAGTTATTTGTTGTCTATCCTAAAATTTAGCATAGACAAGAGGTGATTCCCAAGTCAAGGCTTGACCTGTTGTGGGGCAGGAGGGGTTTAAGTGCATGTGGACCTGCAGCCTGTGAAACATTTGGTGGATTCAGGTGGGGAAGGGATGAGAACTTGAGGAGCCACGGAGGTGGAGAACAAAGGCTTTGAACTGAGCTCCACCAGAGGTGTGCCTGCATTTAGAGCCAGGCAAGGGAGTCAGCCAAGGGATGGAGGAGGCACTGCCAGGTAGGAAGGCAGGAGACCCACTGGAAACCTGGCGAAAATGAATGTCCTGAGGACCCTTAAGGGGCAGGATGAAGGCCAGGAATTGGAGGAACAGGATGGCAGAGCAGTGACCTTGGTGACCTCAGATGGCAGATGGGAGATCGGCCGTCAGGAGCCACTGTGTACTGAGCATGCACTGCATGCCCTTTGACGGGTTCTGAGCAGGTGTGAGACTGCCTTTCCTGACCTGGGCTCTTATTGTAATTGAGAAGTAGAGTATGATAGGGGGGATGGGTGCTAAAATATTTCCCTTATCACTAGAAAAGCTGCTATGAGAGTGCATAGCTTATGTCCTTGGGCAAGTGGACTTTCTGAGATGACACTCTAGGGTCATATGTCCCTATCCAGAGCCTGGCAGTGTGGGACCTGTAAGCATTCTGGTGTGAAGGAGCCCTAGGAAAGAAGGACTGGATGTGCCTACCCAGTTTCTCTTTGTAAAACTTACCTACCAGATAAGGCAAGGGTAGAGAGAGACCAGCAAGGTTAGAGCTAATGGCGCATCCTTCACGTGGAAGTAAACAGCCATGGCAGTTGTGCCCCCCCAGCCCTGTCCTAACAATAGTGGCTTGCACTCACCCAGTGCATCTCATGTGCATTTACCCTCTTGATCCCCACAACAATGTTATGGGATAGGTAGCAGCATGATTGCCTTTTCACAGATGAGAATTCAGGCATGGCAGGGGCGGGGTGCCCAGTCTGCTCCTAGCCTTGCAGAAAGTAATGTAGGCAGTTGAACTCTAGAGTCCAAACCCTTGGGCCCTTGAGTGAAGGATCTCACAGGAACTAGAGGTGGAAAAGAGGGAATGGGGGTAGTCACCTCTTAGGAAGTTTTATTGGGAAGATGAGCTGAGAAATAGGAGGGTCAAGGAATTTTGTTTTAAGGTAAGCAAGAGATGGTCAAGTTGGGGATGTAGAGTCTCATCTCCCCATTCCAGTACCATGTCATGTTACATGTCACACTGGTAATAAATTCTTCTGAACTATGTCCTCCCCAAGTGAGCTGCTGGGCCTCGGTCTCCCTGGCACCCAGCACATGCCTGGCACCTCATAGATGCTCAGTAAATGTGCTTTTGCCTCCCTCTTTGCCCCACAATCTGAATCTATACCAGGTTACTTTGTTAGTGCTGCAGTTAGGAGGTAGGGATCTGTATTCACAGTCCTAGGATCATATCTTTACGCCTCCCAGGGGGCTGTTTTTGAATTTCTCTGTGCTTCAATTTTATCACCTGTATAATGAGAAAATCCAGCCATGTTTTAGCACGATGCCAGGTCAATGGATGTTAGCCACAATGTTCCATGTTAGCAGTTCTCTGCAGCTTCAGGAGTAGTGAACTTCACATAAGGAGGCCTCGTCCCACCTTGTGCTAGACAAAGAGGCTCTTTATAAAGATCTTGCTGAAGGTTGGGTTTCTCTCTTTCCCTGGATGTGATTTTGGTAGTTGCCCTTAGTGCTGCCTCTCGTGGAGGGGAGATGGGCTTCTTGAGCTGTCATGGTCTTGCTGTGTCAGCAGGGGGCAGCAGCCACCTGAAAGTGTAGAGTGCGATCTGGGTCCACCCCCTGTAGTGTTAGACCTGCAGGCTGCTAGGTTCACCTTCTCAACACTTGGCAGGGGTTCCTGGGAAAGTGGTGCGGTGGGAGATGAGATGTATACACCAGAATCGATCTCCATCTGTTTCCACACGGGCATCTTTCATCTTTACATGTTCTTGGAATCGACCGCTATGTGAAAGCTGGGCCAGGTCTGCAGGGGCGGCTAGTCATTTGAGACCGGATGTTCAGTACCTGTTGATGCACCCTGTTCTCCTCAGAGCTCACCTACTTCCTTGTCCTTCCTAGTGTACTGTCCCTATCCCTTCCTCAGCCTCCTTCCTGTTCCACTCTTGGGAAATCCCTTTGGCTTCTCCCTGCCACCATTTCCGAGCCTTTGGCTTCCTGTTTGTCCACCATTCCTGAGCCCCAGACTGCCACACTCTACCGTACTCTGAACTGAGGGAACCAGGAGCCCATTTCACCGGCTGGCATACGGATGTGTGTAGTTTATTAAGAAATATTTACCAGGGTCTTTCATAGTGCAAAACACTGTGGTAGGGCTTGTTAGGAACACCAGAAAATATAATACCGTGGGTGGGGCGTCCAGTTAAGGAACACACATGCAAACAGGTAACAGGTGATGCAGGGAAGTAAAAAATAGATGACTAAAGAGGGCTGCAGTCAAGGAGGGCTCTGGGAGGTTAGGAGTGAGAACAGGGGTCTTCGGGCAGGGGACTACTCTGAAGCTATGAACTAGCCCCTGGCCTCATGCAGGAGGGGTGGTGGCAGGAACTCCCCCAAATCTTCCTGCCCACATGCCTCACTCTTCTGAAATCTGTCCTGAGCTCCTCAGACCAGAGTCTGTGTCTCACCCATCTTGGTGTTCTCAGGGCCTGGCACACGGCACTCTCCAACAAACACCTGCCCACTGACTTGATTATACTTGTGCTACTCTTGGCACAAGTTTCCCCCCTGCTTAACCTGTTAGACTTCTGCCTGTGGTTTGAGGCCTGGCTCATGTGGGCTTTTGACCAAAGGCCTTTCTGGTTCTCCAGCTCTCCAGTCAGGTCTGAATTAACTACCCCCATCCAAGTTCCCCAAGACTCTTTTGACTTATTGCAGGACTGGCCCAGGGTCACCCTGGTGTCATCCCTGACTCCATCTTGCTCAACACTTAACATGGAACAATAGACATATGTAGAATGACCGTATGTCATGTATGGTTTAAACTGGGACACTTGAGTTTGAAGGGAGGCAGATGTAGCCCAGGATTGAAAAGCACACTGTCCAGAGAGGGCTGTCGGTGGCCAGCCTCTGCCACGAGGGGCTGTATGCACGTGGATGAGTCACTCAGCTCCTCTGGGTTTTGATGTTCCAGTCTGCAAGAAGTGGGGCTGGATTGGGGGACTGGGTAGATTACCTCTCAGGTTATCTAAAGCACTAAAATGATAAGGCTAACGGAGGTTGGCGCCTGTAAGAGGCGTTCTAGTGGAGGATGTGAGATGGTGGATGTGTTTGTGAAGAGGGTTTGGAGTCAGGGCATGACAACTCTGAGGCCAGCATTGGTTAGGGCCCAGCCTGGAGGCAGTGGAGCACTGCTGGACATTTCTACTTTGGATGTGAGGTGATGACTGTCCACTGCGGTCAAGGAACTTGGAATGCTACGTGATGGTTTCTCCTTCCACAGGGCAGGCAGATAACATTGTTCACCGCACAGTGGGGATAAACCAGCTGACTTATTCATCAACATAGTTGGGAGGAAGGGGTGTCAAAATGAGTTTCTTCCCCATTTAGGACAGAGGAACATTTTGATCTAGGATGGAATGGAGATCAAGGCCATGGAGTTTGGCAAGAGAAGACAAACTCCTCCTTCCTCAGCTGTGGCTTCATCTCACGTGCTCTTCTAGGCCACCCTGTCCCTTTTCCTCTCTCCTTATGATTTCTGTGATAACACGCAGAAGGGCAGGGTCCTCTCCACACCCAACAGAAGGGATTTTCAATCATGCCAGAAGCTGCCCTTCTCCAGAGGTGAGGCAGGAATTCTTGCAGGGGTTGGGAGGCTGGGGGAAGAGTGGAGGGAAGAGTGGAAGCTGCTGGCATGGGGGGCTTCCTAGCAGGAGGCTCCTGGAGCTATACAGGTTCTCAGGCTGCTCTGTTTAGGGGAGAAGGAGAGGCTCTTGCTTAACGTCACCTCTCCCTCCTAACCTCAGTGTTGCTGCTGCTGTTTTAGCCTCCCGCTATCCTTGGAGAGACAGGCCAGGAACCCACCTATCCCTGTACCCCAGGCTGGGAGTGTGTAGTCCCTGTTCTCCCATCTGGCCTTCCTCCAGCTGATCTTTACCCAACCCCTGCTGCCACTTTGGACAGGATTTCCAAAGCCTCAAATCACAAACTCTTCCTTCTCCCTTAAAACAGTTGCATTTAGCAGAAGGGACTGTGGCTACCCAGTTGGAAGGGACTTGTCAATAACAAGAAAGGGCATGAGGCCTTAGGATGGTTTCCTTTAGAGAGAGGGAAGCTATGTCTTCATGGCACCAACAAAAACAAACTCAAGGTTTAAAAAAAAAATGCAACCAGGTATTTGGTTCACCTGCCATCTCAGATATCCTCTTTATTTTTTTTTGAATTGAATTAGTTTTCTAAAAATA